GTTGACGTACATCGCGACGATGTCTGAAAGCAGCCAAAAAATCAGACCGTTCTTTTGTCACGAAATGGCAACTTTGGGCTTTGTTGGCACGCATATTTGGGAACCTGGTCGCTTCGTAACTACACTCCTTATCCCTGAGCCAGAGTAGGCGTGGCATTTGAACATGGCACGGAACTGGTTACTCGTGGAATATTCCAGTCTGGGACAACTGTCATCTTGTTCTGTGTTGGACAGAGACACGACAACAATTGTGTCAAGATGAAAATATCTTACCAGCATACTGCTTCAAGTTAGGTTGAAGCATGCAGCCACGCCCACCCGATCTCAGGATTTCGAGTTATATGTTCAGTTACTATTATGGCTTCAATGTTCCTGCTAACAATTTGGGCAGCTGTGCTCGAGTTAAAATAATGAATTGCTCTACTGAAAACAGTCAAATGAAGGAGTTGCAGCATCTCATGTCGCCTCGAGGATGCTTGTTTGCATCCACTCTCTTTGGACCTCGATGAACCTCGAGCACTTTCAAGCAGCGATTCGACAAGTTCTGCATCCACAGGGACTCACTCATCTGGTACTATATTTGTGTAAGTTCGAATCTTAATAATTCCCACTCTTCTAGTTTTTTTTTCAAGTGACGCATGCTTTGATGGGTGTGCTCTTCAGATGTGAATCGTGCAAGAAGTCAGTTTCGTCTTTACGTAGTTTGAAACGTCACCACACCACCTGCAAGCAATACATAGCTGAGAATGGTCCTCCTCCCGACAGCGAGTAAGTATCTTTTGTATTTTAGCAGTTGAGTATTACACATTATCCAATTTTATGAGGTCTGTCTTCGATTCCTTATGATTTCGATTCCTTACAGCCTTTTTTCATTCCAGCACGAGTGTTCGCATTTTATTAGTTTGGTTTTGATGTGAGATTGGCCAGCATAAAGAGGAAGCTCTAAACCGGGCGTTTGTCCTCTGGAAACAAGCTGTCTTCTCAACCAAGCGCTCCTAATGTCTTAGCGTGCCAAAGGATTTTGCAAGACATAACTGGTGCTCTAAAACTGTGTTCATACTTTGCGTCAGTGTCCACCTTCCGCCAACGCCAGCGACTAGGAAAGTTAGATATCGATCTAGCGGACGCCAGCGTCTACAAACGTCCACCAGCATCCGATAGTGAAGAGTTTTTGGGAGTAACAGGAAAACAGACAGCTAGATTTGGCGACGTGAAATTGCTGCGTGGGCAACAGTCTGTAACTGCACTACCCCGTACGTCGAAA